AAGCATCCCTACATAAATTGTTTGATCAAAGAACTTGCAATTGGTATAAAATGACATATCACATGATGCCACATATAAGGCCAGTATGTTAATTGAGGAAGATCTCTACCAAAACCATGCATCAACTTTTGACTTGTCTCTAAAACCTGAAGACATATCCATTCCTTTTTTGTACGGGATTCCCTAGTTTCATACAAATCCGTACAATGAGAGATGTATTGCAGCAAATGTATCATTAACCATATTCTTTAAACCAAACAAGGTAGGACTTTCGTTATATTCACAGAAAGTATTTGAGACAAGTGGAATTAATACCATGTATATTCTCAAGAAACCAAAAGAGCCAAGCTCAATTAGATCAAAACATTTTGAGTTTTCAAATCTGTACACCACTATCCCACATGGCAAACTTAAGGAAAGACCTCATTCATGTTGCAAAATGTGGCGTTCATAAATACAGTTACATCTCTTTCTTCAGAGATTCAGGGCAATTTGTCAAAAATGAAAACAAATGCCATCTGAAGTTTACTGAAAAAAATATTGTGTAATCGTGGACTTCCTCATTGATAACGTCTATTTAAAGTTTGGGGGGTAAGACATTTAGGCAAGAAGTAGGCATCCCCATGGGTACCAATTGTGCTCCCTCTTGGCTGATCTGTGTCTTCATGCATATGAATCGGAATTTCTGATCGGTTCGGCAAAGTCAGAACAAGGTAATTGGTTCAGGAAATGTAACTAAAGCTTCAGGTTTATCGATGATCTGATATCGTTCAATAACCATCAAATAGGAAATTCCCTTCTACTGATTTACCTCGTTGAACTAGAAATAAAGTAGACCAGTGTGACCAACTCATCTGTTTCATATTTAGATCTATTCATTACGATTCAAAGTGACAAAACACTCTCCACAAGGCTGTATGACAAGAATCAACTTTCCCTTCACGTCGAGCAATATTCTTGCCGCTCCTGCCCTTGAAGTGGAAAACATTTCCAAATTATGTCCGATGCAATTACCTATTGTGACTTGAACCATTTATTATATACTTACGAGTGAACGACTGAGTTTTCCGAAGTTGAGAAAAGGGATATTTTCATTGCAGTGAAGATAACAATTGATATTTGGCGGAATTATTGTCATACAAGAGTGACCTCCCCTCAAGTTGTCTCCCTTTATCGTTAGTGTCTAGCCCGTACACAAACTGTTGCCTTCTTTGTTACGTTAGTTCCACATTGTCAAGGCAAAATAATGACAGATGGTCATTTATGGAGTTAATATCATTTCAGGCTGGTTGTTATCCTCTTGAAAATGTTTCGCTATAAACTGTAAATTTTCTGACTTAACACGTCAATCGAGACTCTTCGTTTCGCAAAGAGACATTTTTGTCACTTGAGCAGTGTGTCGTCTTTCGCCTCCAACCGCGGTTTGGTAGTTTTCATGTATATTTTTTGTTAAAGCTGATTTTGTATATAAGCATATCTATATGTATGATACAGAATATTCGTGCCCCTAGATATATTTTGTCACTTTTGTTAATATTTCAAGATTTTGCGAACTCGAAACAACTATTAAAGTCGCAAATACAACGGGTGGTGAACCGTCCCTTTATGTTAGGTAGGTAGAATTTACGTTTCAAGGTTTTACATTTGTGAGGAAATAATAAAATTTCCAACACAAAACTACTATCCTCTATATCTTCCCGTGTTTTTATTATATTTTACACTTGTCTTTACATGTGTTTGTGACGGGGGTCACTAGCTCATCTTTTCGCACATGGCATCATCATTTTTTATAGTGATTCATAAACACATATAGTCGGAATCGTAAATCGACTCTGACAGAGATTTCTTATGAATATGAAAAGGGTTTTGTCGCTTTTTATTTAATTGACTTGAGGAAACAGTGACTATCATTTGGCCCGAGTTTAACCCTCTTTATCTATCGAGTTATAGTTTGCCAATGTTAAGTACAGTCGCACGGCAAAGACTGTAACCTCGATCACGCCTTTGGTTGAGGCCATTCTTTATGTAATGTAGATTCGCCCTCGTTTCATCAAGACGTGAGTTATACGCTACTTGTCCAAGTGGAAGTCGTATGGATGTTTGCGACGACAATATGACGGTTTATTTATGGGGAAATGTGATACTTATTGGAATAGGAGTTACTGACCCTCTGGGCTCGTCACGTCGGCAATTCAGAGACATCCACAATAAATCATGTCCGGCGCGTTGGACTATCTGTATGACCTATATCTCCGGTTCCAGAGCACGTTCTATGATCAGTCGTATAAAACGCGTCTTTGTCTTGGCGTTGTTGCAACGTTGCAAAGGGAATGTTCAATTAATTGATGTGATTGTCGATTGTTGATACTTGTACTGTATATCTTTGTCGTAACTCACGTTTTGCATGCAAAAAGTGAAAGGGACATATATATTAAGGTCATGATAATATGAACTAGGATGCCATTGAGAAGAATATTAAAATATAGGTTGGGATAGGTGTAGGTAGACCTTTATTTTATAATTTAATGTAAAGTTAAAAATGAACGGTTGGACGGATGGTTTGTTGTTTCACGCCGCACTCAGCAATTTTCCAGCTATGTGACGGCGGTCTGTAAATAATCGAGTCTGGACCAGACAATCCAGTGATTAATATCATGAGCATCGATCCACGCAATTGGGATTGATGACATGCATCAACCAAGTCAGCGAGCCTGACCACCCGATCCCGTTAGTCGCCTCTTACGACAAGCATAGTCGCATTTTACGTCAAGCATTGGTTGCTGAAGATCTATTCTACCCCGGATATTCACGGGTCATGATCTGTGTTAGCAAATATAAATGTGACCTTTTTCATGTGTTTTCTCCTTGGGCATATGTGTGACTCTTTTCTCTGTGTGAGGTTTTCCCATGTGACTTTCTTTCCAATCCATATAAGCAGGCTGCTGTTTGTAAAGGACGGAATTGAAATATAATGAAATATAACACACCAACGCTAGAGAATAATCAGTCTGGACTATCTGTTGAAACAGATTCCGCTGGGCGTAAAAGGCAAAATACTGGAGAAAAATATATGAATGAATCACTGAAAATCTGTGGTGACATCGGCCTGTAAACAAACGAGTTACGTATAAAGCGTTGACGTAGTGGAGTTTAATTCAAACGATATGCCTTAGAAATTAAATTAATTTTGTAGTGGAAATATATCTTTATATGACTATGGACATTATCAAATTTGATCGTTGATACTTTGCAGTTTCATTCAAAGTGATTTGTTCTCTCTTTGTCGATAAATGATGTTTCCTTGTTCTTTGATAACCATCTTTCATTCATTGACTAAATCAACTTAAACCTGTGGACTCAAACACTCTGGAGAAAGCTATGCTCCCTACTGAATGTTCCATTATGAACAACACATTCCTTATACAATACAATGTTCTTTGTGTCATTCGTTAGTATGCAAGAATTTGTAATTGTTAATACCATAATAAATCAACGTTAATGGAGATTAAGGATAATGTTTTTAATGCAAAGCTATGTTACCTGTAAATTGGAGAGCGCTAGTTTCACGAGCAGCGTTGGGTATCATATGTTAGATCATCCGCCGATAACGAGAAAAGTATGTGTGTGATGGTCGAGGGTCGCCGTAAGATGTATTTATTATATACTTCAGTGTGAAGACTGAGGGAGTTGAGAAAACTGATATTTTCATTGCAGTGAACATAACACTTGATATTCACTGCAGTGAACATAACACTTTTACGGAACTATTGTCATACAAGAGTTACCTCCCCTTAAATTGTCTCCATTTATAAGTGTCTTGCCCGGACACAAACTGTTGACGTCCTTTTTACGTTTGTTCCACATTGTCAAGGCAAAATAATGACAGATGGTCATTTATGGAGTTAATATCACTTCTTGCCGTTTGTTATTCTCTCGAAAATGTTTCTTTATAAATTTCTCATTCAACTCGTCAATCGTGATTCAAGGTTCGTTTCGCAGAGCGCCTTTTTTTGTTACTTGACCAGCGTGTATTCTTTCGCTTCCAACAGCGGTCTCCTAGTTTTCAAGAAAATGTTTTGTTGAAGTTTATTTTGTATATAATCATATCGAAATGTATGATAAAGAATTATCGTGACCCTAAATACTTTTGGATAATTTTGTATTTATTTTTTAAGATTTCGCAAACACGAAACTACTTTTAAAGTCGCAAAAACAACAGGTGGTGAACCATCCCTGTGTGTTACGTACGTAGGGAGAATTTACGTTTCAAGGTTTTACATTTGTAATGAAATAATTTAATTTTCCGGTAGACAACTACACAAAAAGTATATAATAAATAGGATATTTCATGTTTCGTGAAAATATCTCCTTTTCCCCAGTCACTCGATGAGAGAAACTTGATATTTCACTCGACACATATTTCCTTCGACACATGAACTATCCTCTACTTATTTCACAGTCATGGTGCGGGACTAATAATATCAGTCGTGGTGCAGAAATGTACTTTGAAGTGTCGAATAGGTCCATGGTAACCTTTGCTTTGCGAAATTCTGGTCGCCCCGATTATGTTTTAGTGGTTTGTTAGCATCACACCGGTGCTCGTGGGTTTCACGGAAATGGTAAACGTCTGAGACCAACATCACTTCGGACTCCCACATTAGTTATATAAACTGACACACTGTGATGTAACTGGAATATTGTTCAACGCGGCGCTAAAACCCAACTCACTTACTCACTCACTCACTCACTCACTCACTCACTCACCAAGACTTGGTGGATTGTGTGTCATCGTACCCCGAAGGCGTGAAACATTTACAAAAATATCAATCGCTGGAGTGTCTGGCCAAAATTAGATTATCTTAGGCCACAGTAATATGGTTGGAATTCACACGAAACAACTGTGGCATTAACCACAATTCACAGAAGCACGCAAGTCTTACTAATTCACTGATGGCAGTCAGCACCAGATGTGTTTGTAATCCTCCACCCTACTGTTTTAGGCTCTGTCCGTGTTTCCTCTTCTTCCTGATGAGCACGATGCCAGCTATTTGGCTCCTGGAGATCAGTCGCCAAGGAACGTTCGCCACCACCAACATCACCGCCGTCACCGACATCGCCATTGCAGGGGTCAGTTCACTTGCTTGTGCACATTCCGATACGCCATTATTGCTGGATACCGGCCCAACCGAGCTTAACAATAAAACGTTTTGGCACAGCCTTGTCACAACATTTTGTAACATCTTTTAAAACATATCTGATCAACTTGACTGAACAAGTCTACCAACGTTACAACTGTCAGTTCACGAAGTTAAACTTTTCAAAAATACACCCTGAAATGACAAACCGTCAGTGTTGCACCCAACTGTGAAATATGTTTAGGTTATTGAATGAAAAATAGAGGATAACATAAATTTTGATATCAGATATTATTGTTAGCGTAGAATTAAGATGGCGGCCATACATATATGCCAGGGCCGGTTATGGGTGCAACGTAATCACCTTTTTCAAGTTGATACTCCTTCATCAAGTATGTATCAGCACAATACAGATGCGATAGTGAGGGTGTTGCGCCGGTGAGACGGCTGGCCAACTTTCGGTGAAAGGAAAGCTCGAATTGAAACAGGGCGTGTACAATTTATCCAATAATCTTTATAAATACGAATCTGGTTTTGAACCCACGATCTGTAGATCCAAATATGGGACTCAAATCTGAATGGCGGATGCCAATAACAATAACATCGTGTGACAATATTATATATATATATCCACGCCGAAATGACATACAAATAGGCATAACATAACTGTAAGAGAAATACCACCAGCGCAGGTGTGACTAACACAACCGTGTCAAGAATTTCGTCCCTTGCCCGTAACAGGATCCGATGATCGAGGGTTCTAAACACGGATTCTTCCCTAATCGTCAGCACAATACCCGTGCTTGTGTATTTAACTAAGTTGGTAAACGTCAACAACTTGCATTAAGCCCCCTTTACGTCAAGCAGTCAAGACGTGGTACCACTGAAATACTCTTCAAAACGGGTTCCTTACTGTATTTGACAATTCGTAGTTTTTATATACTTCAATGCACTTTACAACTGTCAGTGAGTATCCATATTACAAGTTTCTTTTTATCCTTCAAGGTCCGAGTCCCGATTCGATTAACTCCTGACACCTGGGTCTTGATTATTGAGGAGAGCCTGCTGTATCTGATGATCCTGGGTCGATGGCTCCTTCCCCGGGGTGAAGTCAGTCGGGAGCAACTCTCCCAGCTTCTCTTCAGCTTCCTCGCCATCGCCTCGGATATCATGGAGTTGTTCTCTCTGTTTGATGAAGACGTCGTGAGAGGCAGCATCGTCATCACCTACGTGCTCCTGTCCGTGTGGACGTGGAGCATCCTTCAGTTTACCTTAGTCTTGACCATCTACAACCGGCCACGAAGAGCCAGAGTCGTCGAGAAAACAACGTCAATTCTGATAGAACATAAAGAGGGAGTGAAGTTGGAGATAATCGCCATCTTCATCAGCATGCTCATGCAGGACGGTCCATTCCTCTGCCTGCGATTGTTCTGTATGCTTCAGTTTCAGCTATTCACGTATAGCGTGGTGTTCTTCACTGCCAAGAACTTCCTTGTGATCCTGCTGTTGGTGTACAGATTAAGTATACTGTGTTCTGAGAACTATTGCAAAGGGGGAAAGAAAGGTGATAAGTTGGATGAGCATGATGAGTTGGAGATGAAGAACGGGAAGCATCCCCTGAATCACACAACGTTTGTTGCCGTCAATGAAGGTTATCATGGAGACAAGAATAATGGTGGAGCTGTGAGACAAAGGTCAAGGCCAACGTCTGAAGGAGCGAGCAGTATTGATAGTCTGAATACTCTAGGATTTCGAGTGAGTCATCAGGGAGAAACGGATGTCGACAAAGAGAGATTGAGTCTTCGGGTTAGCAGTGGAGAATCAGTTTCAATCAGATCGGAAGGAGAGGAAGTTGACCGTTTCCCGGAACCAATGCAGCAATCATCCGGAGAGGAAACAATTCTTAAAAAGGCAGATTCGCTGGAATCCTGTCATTTGTGACATTAGAATGTCAGGCATACATTTATCATTTTGGTCAAATCATTCTAACACCAATCGAAGCGGTTTTCATTTTCAAACAGCATTGTTGGAAATCTTCGAGAAGAGAGCTGAAAAACGATTGAATCTGTTATGTTCGAAGTGAAATTCGCGACGATGTTTTTTTTCGTTGAACTTAACAAACAGGTGAAGATTTGAAACGGATGCGGCCGGATAGAGAGACAGGTGAAAACGCTCTTCTCGTTCATCTCCCGACAATGAAGAAACAAGGCGACCTGGTACCCATTCCTAGTTTTGTTCCAGACGCTGCTCTGGAACCTTGTTGGAACATAAGACGTTATCTCTTTTAACAGATCATTGCTGCATCAACTTAGATAGTTAACGTCAATGTTGAGTGACCTGATCCAATTTGGTCCCACCTTCGCCATCCCCAATGACCGTTTCGTGTATTTAATATAATAACACGTCCCATTTTAATTCTGGAAACCCAAAAGTCCAGAAACTCTACGCTCTTTGCCCAGTCTCGGTTAAAGGTATTTACAAAATTAAACATGCCGTTTTCATGGGAACATACCAAGGAAGAAAAAATGAAAAAAAAATTGTTTAAAAACTCAATATTTAGACTATGTCGCCCATGGGCCTGCCCATGGGCGAAGTGTGGCCCATGGGCCTGCCCATGGGCGAAGTCTGGCCCATGGGTAGGCCCATGGGCAGGCCCATGGGCGAGAATATGTTCCTTTACTTAAAACTCATGTTTTTGATTCGCAAATACATTTAATGTATTCATTCAAGTATCATGACACAATATTTAACTCATTTTAACTTAATTCAACGATTTTATAGCGATATTGAAATATTTCGCCCATGGGCGAGAAAAAGGTTTGGCCAATGGGCGAGAATATGTTCCTGTACTTAAAACTCATGATTTTGTTTCGCAAATACATTAAATGTATTTATTGAAGTATCATGACACAAAATTTAACTCATTTTAACTTAATTCAACGATTTTATAGCGATATTGAAATATTTCGCCCATGGGCGAGAAAAAGGTTTGGCCCATGGGTAGGCCCATGGGCAGGCCCATGGGCGAGAATATGTTCCTTTACTTAAAACTCATGTTTTTGTTTCGCAAATACATTTAATGTATTCATTTAAGTATCATGACACAAAATTTAACTCTTTTTAACTTAATTCAACGATTTTATAGCGATATTGAAATATTTCGCCCATGGGCGAGAAAAAGGGTTTGGCCCATGGGCGAGTATATGTTCCTGTACTTAGAACTCATGATTTTGTTTCGCAAATACATTAAATGTATTTATTGAAGTATCATGACACACAATTTAACTCATTTTAACTTAATTCAACGATTTTATAACGATATTGAAATATTTCGCCCATGGGCGACAAAAGGGTTTGGCCCATGGGCGAGAATATTTTCCTTTACTTAAAACTTATGTTTTTGTTTCGTAAATACATGCAGGAGTTCTAACTATTTTCATGGCACATAATGTAACACAATTTTACTCAATTCAGCTATTTTACAGATTTATTGAAATATTTCGCCCATGGGCGAGAAAAGGTTTTGCCTTCGAAATCCTTGATTATTATATCATGCCAGAGTTCTGAAATTCAGTGACAATGCTGTTGAACAGTAGAATCTGATTGACGTATTTTGCAGAACCTGTTTGACACTATGGGTTCCAGGACCACTAACACTCTGAGCTGAAAAAGTTTGGTCCTAACCGCACCCAACATCTTTAATGAACCCGGCCTTATCTCTCAAAACGTTTTGGCAGTTTATCATACGAATTCATGTGCGTGTACAACATTAAATTTTAGTTAGTTTCTACTCATTTCCCAGTTTATGACCCGTTGATACATCACACTGGGCAATTACGTGACAGGTACGCGTGCGCGTATTTTAATGGAAAGAAACTATTCGTCTTTTATTGCATAACGTTTGGCTGAATATCTTACATTCTAACGAAATCTCGAAATAATTATTTAATTACAAGCAGTGTCGAACTGACCAGTAGGAATTATGTTTCAATGCGATTGAGGAAAACGTGAGTGAATATTGTGACACTAAAGCAACTTTTAACTGCATTGTCACTTTTGGTATGAAAATGGTAATAGTTAAGAAAAACGTAACAGCCTTCTTATGATAATTCTCATATTCTCATTAGTACGTTGTGTCTAATTACAGTGTCGGCCTTATTTACAGGTGATTCTACAATACTTGTTGTCGGTCAATTACAATCTGCCACACCACGCGTGAATAAACAGTTATGCAGGTGTTGCTGTGGGCAAATACCTAGCCTGTACATGTATATTTTTGTGGATACATGTATTACATATTTTCGTTGATATGTGGATATATTAAACACCAAGACACAAAAAGTTTATGAAAGATGAATTTGTGCCTTGATATATATATTCAACGCGAACGAAGCTTGTATTTTCTCCGCGATCCTGATGTGTATCATCGTTTAATTGGTCATTCATTAAAAGTATGTTGTGAGGCGATATCAAAGGAGCCGCTCAATATACGCAGTGTCGTCCGTTTCGCGTGAACTACCACCCTACCCTGTCAGTAAGAGTTATGTAATCGGTACACAAATATATTTGGTGCGATGTCAGTGTGGAAGGAGTTTGAATTACGTCCGCCAGTGGCCACAGAAAGTATAGTACCAATCAACAAGGCCAATGCCGTACTAATAACCTAGTGACTCGCGTAACAACGGCTGTCAATATGTCTGCTACATCTACCATACCATCATCCCTGTCACAACTGGCGTATTAACGGCTTATTCAAAATATTAATTGTAGAAATGTCGTTACCAGACTAACGTACGTCGTATTCAGTCCTCAACTGGATGTTACATTCCTTATATCAGTTAACAGCCCTGTTTGTGAAAATATTTACTAGACATAAGATTTAAAGACTAATAAAATCAATTGTAAGACCGCATAGACCATAAAACCGAATAAAATATGTCTTGGTATCATCTCTTGTGTATAAGATGATGGCAATGACCGGAAATATTATAACGTTAGATTAAGAAGGAGAAACATTAAAGTGTTTTACAATACTTGGAAACATGAGCAATAAGATGTAGCAACATAAACATGCATGGAATAGGGAAAAAGGATGAAAACAAATTGAAAAGGATTTTAATATAAAATTATCGAACTAAATAACTTGCCTGAACAGAAAGGGTACCCAAACTTGTTTGACAGTTATTCGTGTGTTGTAGACTGTCGAATGGGACACATGTGTGTACGTAGGGTAGGCATATCTATTGCAAGTTTTAGTACTCATACACTTTCTCTTTTTGTGTTTTGTTTGTTTGTTAGTTGTATAACGCCACACTTAGCAATATTTCAGCTGTATGACGGCGGTCTGTAAATAATCGAGTCTGGACCAGACAATCCAGTGATTGACATCATGTGCATCGATCCACGCAATTGGGATACGATGACATGCATCAACCAAGTCAGCGAGCCTGACCACCCGATCCCGGTAGTCGCTTCTTACGACAAGCGCTGTCGCCCTTTTACGCCAAGAATGGTTTGTTGAAGATCTTCACGGGTCTATTGAATGCAGGGATTTGTGTAAAGTCATTCAGACAGCATACAATGCCAACTAAAAAATTATACTCAGTGTCTCCGCAAAGTAATATAGTACGGTACTTAGAGTACATGTGAGATTATACTCAGATTAGGGAGATGTTTTATCCGTGTAACGTGTTATTATTCTACCTAACAATGTATTTAATGAAATGAATGAAAAACAAACTCAACGGCTAAAAGGTTTCATTGAAAAAACTACCCGTAGTCTTGACTAATAAAACAACTGCAACCCGACACAGATTAAACGCTCTTACAAACACAATCATAATCTGGTTAGTCTGTATCACTCAACGAGGCCGCTTACTTTGCCCACAGTATGAAAGTATTGGGCAGTTCAGTAATTAGGAGCCAAAACCAGGCAGGTACGCTGGTCACACTTGACTGGTCTGACTGATGATTAGGTCGTCTGACAATTGTGAGTGAACCATAGCAAGAAGTATCTGCGAAACTATTTGCTCCTTTTATGGGACCGATTAGTTTTATGACCATGGGCCTCGGCACAAGCGTGGTGTTGGAAGACAAGTTATACATGTACATCCGATATGGTGACTGTTTTTCGCTATTCATATTCTAAATACATTCATAATACCACAACATTTTAGTACTCCTTGAAACTTTACAATCACTTCAATATGTACAATAGATTGAACGAGAACACTTGATATATTGCAGATTATTAAATCATTGTCTCTATTATCAGCCGCTACGTTTATATCGTTTGCATTGTACAAAGAAATATTTTATCTGTCCTTTTGCAGATTTAGCCTCAGAATGTGCTCATTCGAATGAGGAACGAAAATAATTGCTTATCATGAGTATATATGATACAGTTAAAAGTTACTTGTACACTGTAGACGTATTCACTTTAAAGTCGCATACGACCTTCGCGAGCGAGTTGAATGATCCAGGTTAATTGGAACGAAGTCTAGAGAGGGTTATACAGTTTTGTATTTGGTAATGTGTAGGTTTGTTAAATATAATTTTTTTCATTCCTTTTATTTCAATATGTAAAAACATAACTATGCGCTTAAAAACAGAGCTGACTTGATGGGAGATAGCCACCTCAGATTGTCTGTTGGACACGGTTTAACCTTACTGTGTCCTCACCCTGGGTGTTGTTACCGTTGTTATAAGGGATTAAGAGCTACGGCTCATTGCATTTTTGGTTACAGTCTGTATCACTAAAGTGGACATGTGCAGGTGAACTCTGTTCAATTAGTATATGAAATGCCCCAAAATGTGAACTCCAGACAATAATAACCTGAGGGTAAATCCACGTGCGTCTGCCTTTCCCCTCGTTCATCTTCGAAATCCTTGATTATTATATCATGCCAGAGTTCTGAAATTCAGTGACAATGTTGCTGAACAATAGAATCTGATGGACGTTTTGTGCAGAACCTGTTTGACACTATGGGTTCCAGGACCACTAACACTCTGAGCTGAAAAAGTTTGGTCCTAACCGCACCCAACATCTACAAGTAATTAACAGTCCCATGCTGAGACCTTTCTCAAAATTCAGACCGGTGGCAGGTTGCCAACAAAGAGAAGAAAATATCGCAACCCCGACACGAGTGTGCTCAGTCAAACAATGAACTTACGACCGGCAGAAAACAACTCCAGTTGAGTATGCCGATGCTGTATCTCAGCCGTGTTGGCCTGAAAATTTAAACATGCTAATTAAATCCAAAATCGTATAATTATTTTTAATAGAAACCGTATCTTAATTTGTTCTTGCACTGCATCATATCGTGTATTTCATCTGTATATGTGTAATGTGTATATGTATCAATGACTACACTTATACCGCATATTCTG